CCGCGACGTCTTTTTGTACAGTAGATTGCCTGCGTTTTCGAATGGTTTATTTTAATTAGCCACCGATCCGCCCAATCTAATACTTCTTCCACCGCACTTTGCAGCCTGTCATGGACTAGGTCACCAGACCACGACTGAGCCACCAATGCAGTATCGTCAGCATAGAGATAGACTTCACAGTTGCTGGGACTAGGGACGTCATGGATGTACAGTGAGTAAAGGATAGGTCCAAGGACCGAACCCTGAGGGACGCCGGCTGTAATCAGCCGTGTTGTCGACAGCACATTGTCAATTTTGATCCGAAATTTCCTACCTTCAAGGAAGGATTTCAGTAGTTTTAGAAGCCAAAAAGGGAAGCCCTTTTGGATTAGTTTATACAAGAGGCCCGCGTGCCACACCTTGTCAAATGCTTTTGAGACATCCAAAAGCAAGATGCCAGTACTTTCGTTAAGGGTGAATCCTCTGGTTACACGTTCCACCAGCCTAACCGCCTGTAGCTCCGTACTATGTTCAGACCGAAAACCGAATTGCACGTCAGGAATCACATGGTGATCTGACGAGAAATTCTCAAGGTGACGTAGAATCACCTTTTCAGCGAGCTTAGACGCAGCTGACAGCAGGCTAATGGGACGATAATCCTGGGGAAATATCGAACCCACCTTCTTTGGAATCATTATAACTTCAGCGGTCTTCCACGCGGATGGGAAGTACTGGATCCTGAGCATGGCATTGACTATTGCCACGAGATAAGTTAAGGACTTCCGCGAAAGCAGCTTCAGCGCCTTATTAGTGATTTGATCCTCCCCAGGTGCTTTACGCACTTTAAGGTCTTTAATATGACCTTGAATCTCTGCTGGTGTGCAATGCGGGATCTCAGGAGATACCGCTGATGTGCTAAGCAAATCTTCGGTTGAAGAAGCTTCTGAAGAAGAATCTTCTGATGAAGAAAAATCACCAACGAATGCGCGACTGTCACTGACGCCGTTGGCCCTAAAATATCTCCTGACAGATCTTACGATGTGTTGCTCCTCGTCGAGGTCATTATCAAGATCATAGTTGGGAGAGAACTGTCTTTCCATGGCATCGGCGAAAACCTCAACCTTCTCCTCTGTCCTGAAGACAATGCCTCCAGGACCGTGAATGTGTGGGATTTGTTCACGCTTTCCGTTTTTGAGCGACTTCGCCACCTTCCAGAGAGGAATGCTTGAGTCAAGCATCCCCGCCAGAAAGTCGTTCCATTGCTCATTGCGGAATTCATGAAGAGCATTTCTTACTTCATGAACAAGATTCGTCGCTCTGCGAATGTCATCAGGATGACAAGACCTTTTCGCTTGCTTAATTGCAGCTCTTTTATCAGAAATTTTCTGACGAATGTCTGCTGGCAGAAAAGGTCTGCCGTGTCGCTGCACGGGAAGTACAGCTGCACGCTGCAGAGTTTGCTGAACAAAACTTGTCCACTCTGCTTGAGCCGCATCTATACCGTTCTCATCATCTATGATCGGTATATTGGGGAACTCTTTGAGGAGCGACTTGTATAGCTCCCAATCAATGCGTTTCCTTGGAGGGATTTCATCCCCCAAGATCTGCTCATTAGCCACTTCCAAAACGACGGGAAGATGATCGCTTGAGATGTCATACATGATTCGAGAAGTGATGCTGTAGCTACAGTTTTTGGATAATGCCAAATCAAGAACATCAGGTGCCTGAAGGTGATTAAATGGGTGGTGCGTCGGCTCCTCAGTACTATGTATGAGGTAGCCATTTCGTATCACATGGTTGTACAGTCGGATCCCACTGGTGGAATTCAACCTGGAATGCCATGCTCGATGTTTGCAGTTGAAGTCCCCTGCCACAATAAGTGGACCCGAGTAGTCTAAAAGGACTTCCAGATCCGCCTCTTGCAGCCTGTTACCACACCTGACATACACCGATGTGATTTTTAACGGCACACCTCCCGTCATATTGACCACCACGGAAGCCGCTTCGATGCTCTGCATGTCAGCGTTTGTGCTTCTGTGGTAGTCAATACCGCGTTTCACTAGCACTGCCAAGCCGCCACCCCGTCCAGTCAATCTATCAGCCCGGATAACATCGTAATTCGGGAAAGCTAGACGATCTCCCGGATTAAGTAATGTTTCCTGCAGCAAGGCCACATCTATACTTTCGTCCACAAGAGCTTGATGAAATTCCCGTCTTTTGGGAATGTCCCTTAGACCCAAACAATTCCAAAAAAGAATTTTGATAAATGCAGGCTGTCGTCGATTGTACCTAGCCATTTGCAGGAAAGATCGCCTGCAAAGCCTGTGTTGCGCTAATCAGAGGACCTATGATCTGCTGTAAGGACCTTAGCGCGGTTGCCAGGTCCACATTTTGCGTGTTCGCAGAAGATCCCACAGAGGGGGCAGCCCGGGTTGCATCCCTAGCTGCATCCGCGTAACTTACATTGCGCCTTTGCGCTATCACTTGCAGATTTTTCTTAGGGGCAAATCTGCAAGTTCGGCTATTCGCTGGATGCCCCCCTCCACAGTTCGCGCACTTTCGTTCCTCTTGTTCTGTTTGAGGGCATAAGTGGGTCATGTGGTCAGAGGCACATTTTAGACATTTAGGTGGTGCAGTGCAGTAAGATTGCGCATGCCCATATTTTTGGCAGCGGTGACACTGCCCGATGAGTCTTGAGTTCTTTTGAACTTCGACTCGGATAGCCAAACCTAGCAGCTCGTGTTCGTTGAACAGCTGCTGAGATTTTTCTATCTTGGGCAGTATGACTACCACCAAAGGCATGGGCACGCCGCCACCGCGTTTCAGGCGAATTATGTGCAGGGGGGAATATCCCCTCTGTTGCAACTCTTCCTTGATCTCAATTTCCGAAAGTGTCGCATGTACTCCTCTGATTACAGCATGAATGTTCCTCTCGGAGGGTAGAGGGAAAGTGTGATGGGGCACCTCTTCCTCCCTGAAGAGACGAATAATCCTGCGGTAATCATCCTCGGACTTGGGAATTATCCTGATTCCTGCATCGACGGCAACCGCGCGTTCGAATTTGATGCCCAAGGAAATAAACTTGTGATTTACGCCTCGCCATCTCGAAGCATCACGAAGAACGATGGGGGTAACACGTACCTTGCGTGGGGGCTGTGCAGTCGTGTCTTCTGGTACCTGAGATGTCGAAGGCGTGGAAGTATCCGATAGATTAGGCACAGGCTGTTTATTCGAGTCGCTTGCAGTTGAATGAGATGTTTCAGACTGCGATTTTGGTGAAGGGAGAGGAGGAAAGCCTGTCGTGTCGGTCTTGTTTCGTCGCGTTTTACGGGGCTTAACCTTGGTAAAACCGTCAGGGAGTGTATCGTCGTCTGTGGAAAGATCGCTTGAGTTATTTAACGGTCTCTTAAGATTGACAGCTTTGTCTTTACTGGGATTTTTGGGAAGTGTTTGGGAAGAATTTGTAATATTTAGATGGGAAGGTACCTGGGTTTTCAGTAGGAGGTCTAATTTAACTGTTAGGTCGGTAATTGTTCGCTGCTGGGCTTCGATGATCATCATCAATCTTTCATTGGTCTTCTTATCATCGTCCTTTTTTGACAGCTCCTGTCGAACCATCTCCAATTCGGCTCTCAGCTCCTCTATGGTCTGCTCCTTTGACTCCATCTCCATTGCCATGGTGGAAGCGCCATTTCCTGACCCCCCTGGGTCAGTTTCCATATTAAACACCTCGGTTATCTCGCTTTTCGTCTAAAAAATTTTCCGGATCGAAATTACGGGACAGCTGCTATCAGTGCCCTATACAGGGCGATGACAATTACCTCTTCAGTCTTTCCAGTTACTGCAGTCGGGTTGTTTGTATTTTTAAAAAAACGTTCTTGTTTGGCGCTCATTTTCGCATTCAGCACCTCAACCGAAATTAATTGGATGTACCAAGTTTCGTTGGCTTCTGGCCAAGGAAAATCAAAATGGGTTTCTTCTCTACAAAGTTCGATGACATTTTGATGCTATATATGAGGAAATTTAAAAAAAGTCGCTGCGTATCTGTCAATTCGACAGAATATCGGCTCCTGGGTAAATAAGGTCCATAGATTCAATCAGAGGCTTGAATTACCTGAAAATGTATCCAGGTTTTTTTTAGAAGAGGGGATCGAGGGAGGTCACGGGAGACCAGAGTAAGGCCTACGATCGTAGAGGCCCTGGAGTATAGCAAAATAGAGGGGCCTCCTTATTTTCCACTAGTCTCAATCCTGAAGATGGGGGGGGGGGGCTCATTTTTGCAATTCATCCGATTCTGGCTGCAAGTGTATACATACTTCTGCAGCTTTATCTTAAATTTAAAATACAGATAAGAATCAACTGAGTAATTTAAAAAAATATTTACTAGAACAAAATTGGTACAGCAAACAAAGCCTAAATAGACGTGCAACTTGTTTGGTTTGCAGTCGAGATAAAACTATCATAGATAACAGTAAAAAGTGCGTGTGATCAGATTCCGAGAGCGCAATGATCATCCAGCAATACTAAAACCGAGTACCGGTACTTCAGGAATTCCGCGATCTTGTTTGACCTCAAACACAATATACACACAAGGCACAATTTCAGTCCTCCTGAATGTTCTCTCCATATGAAAATCTTGAAAAACGTACAAAAAACGCATTCAATATAATAATTATCCAGGCGAGTGACAGACCATGAAGGCATTTATGTTTGCAGACGTGTTAAACCGACTCTGAACTATAGTGTATCCTCACCTTATAGGAACGTGACCCAAGTTTCTAGTAAATCCACATTGTACGGGAAAAAAGGGATTTTCGCGGACACTTCACTCACGAAATTACGGCGGTTTTCAGCGCACACACGGTACTTTTTTATCGCGAGGTCACCGCAGGTACTCGCACTCGGTATAGTATCTCGTCAAGTGCTGTTACCTGCTAATTGCTTTTGCCTACCTAAGTTTTCGAATTTCAGTACTACCACGCTCCGAGTGGACAGGTACTGTACTATAAAGTTGGTGTAAGGCTGGTTGCATAAGGTTGACGTTTATCTCTTATTATAGTGGGGTGCGTATTGAATGAAATGCAACCGAGAAGATGGACTTTGTGGACAGGCAGTACCTAGAAGCGACACTCATACTAATACTCAATGGTTTTTCCGTAATTCATAGTGGCTGGGAAGCAAAAGCTCATTTGAGGATCACTCACGGAAATTTTTCGGGTTAATTTTCGTGTACTATCAAAGTTTTCGCCTAGTTGACAGTGATAGTAAGCAAACTGGATTACGAAGGGTTTCTGGAATTTATTGAGAACAACTGGAAATCACCTGCATTTGAGAAGAGAGTGGAGCACAAAGATGGATACTACAAACTACCTACAATTGCGGTCATTTGTGCAATAGCTGTGTTACACAATATAGGAATACAATATCAAGATACTGCTGATCGTGAAGAAGAAACTGAAGATGACAATGAATGATAATTTAAATGGCCTCTATATCTTCGCCGCGCGTTCATAATTAATACTTATTTCGCATCCATGCATAAAAACAAATAAGGTGCATGAAAATTCGGTACAATAACCATTGATTAATACGTAAGTCAATGCTTTACCTAATCGATTAACGTATCCAACCTGCTATAACTTAAAATATACTGATAATTGCATATAAATCATAGTTAACACGTTAACGACCATGCACATGATATTAGTGCGCACTCTGTTTTCTGCACAGACCGTTGTCCCAATGTGGGCACAATCAGCACAATCAACGGTGATGTTTCAAGTCATATGGGTCGGATAAGAACACAGATGTAATGTATTTAAATGTGTAGGTTAGGTCTTTTTTCTTAAACCCCATTTACAATGATTTATAATTCATAAAATATGTATTACTAAAGATCCTCAATCAAAATTCAACAAAAAATACGTTGGTCCCGAAGCAAATTTCGAAAATTTAGCGCTGGTCGTTAACGTGTTGACAGTAGTTACGTTAGAAATAAGGTTGGTTTTCACAATGGTGCTTAAGATACAATGACAATTTTTAGCAAGCATATTTATTCTAATATATCCCTTACAACGAAGGCAAATAAAACAAACAAATGGAACAAAAAAAAACATCCTAAACAACTTTTTTAACAGCAGACGAAATATTGACATTAGAGCAGACAAAACAAGTACATTTTGGAATTCACAGTGGGTAGTATCACTTATATACCTACTTTTGGTATCTGCTTTCCTTGTCCTGCAAGACGTAAAAAATGTACAATTATTTTGATTGCTCAAACCATACGTATGTTTGATATTTTTCCTCAGCTTTTCTTTCCGATCACTCCCTGAGAGTTTTACAAATTGCTTATTTTTCCCTAGGCTTCTTTTGGTTTTTATGATTCGTTGATGTCATTATATTCTTCAATTGGGCTGCATAATAGAGATTTTTCAGCCCCCGAATGACAAAAATGCCAAAACCACAACCATCAACTAGATTAACAGAAATTGGACTTAAATTTGTCAGATCATGACGTTCCCAATTTCAAGTATCTACATTAGGAAACACTTGAGGGTCACTTCATTGAGGTGCCCTCAAGTATACGTACTTGTGAGTGATAATTAAGAATAATGACTCTGGTACCGCAGGATTATTACGTAAAAAGCCATTAGAGTGTCAAAAAACAACAGATAAAATATCAACTTGTTGACTGTAGGTAGGCTAGTGTGCAATTAGCTCATTCCGCGCTGGCTACAGTGAACGACAGCTAATTCCAAGTTGAGGTCTTGAAGGAAAACCTACATATTGTCATAAAAAACCTAAATATGTAAAAACATGACATAATGTCACTTTTCAAGTTACGTGATATCCCTGCGGCAGAGTTATTACGTAAAAAAGTATAAAACATCAGAAAAAATGACAAAATGTCAACTTTTATGACTAGATTGTTCCTAGTGTGCAAATAGTACATTCCACGTTTGCGCGCTATGAGCGCTGTGAGCCTCATCAAAAGCGTCCAACAGGAATTACTCAACGACACGATACGCTCATGCTCAATGACCATGCTGCAAGTCAGCTTCCTATCATGCTTTGTTGGTTGCAGAATGCCGAGATAGTCTGTAGAGTATAGTCTGAGAAGATGTGTCGTTGAGTAGCAGAGTGACATCTGCTATGTGAGAAAATTATTACTGAATATGCTGTCCATGCAATACATATATTAGTTGTGTCAGGCGGGTTATTATAAGTTCAAAGTTATACATTACAATTTTCTCCGTTTTGAGAAGCATTACGGGAAATCAGCACTGCCTCACATCTAGGCGCTGATGCGTATTTTCTACTTGACATCGTAAAATAAATTTCTATAAAATTTAAATGTCTGGAAATAAAAATTAATAAGAAATGTAATAACTTTTTTACGTTTCATAAATATTCCTGTATTTTCCATATTTTCTCATCTTTTAGTTTTAATATACTTCACCAACCATCTTATCGCTCTCTTTTTTGAGATTCAGCAAATTTGCACATGTAATTTCCAGATTGAATAAAAAATTGGATGCGCAACTAATTTTTAGCTTTGCATTCATCTCAAGTTTCAAGTGTATTTGAGACAAGAAACCAATGGAATTATCATCAACATAGATTATTAGCATACAAATCCTCGCTATGCACCTACACATTGCCGTTTCCTTTTAGCTATAATATACAACTTATAGCTTAGACCTCCTATAATACCAACTCTGAAGCCAGATGTTACATAACATCAGAGCCAAACATTGATAGCTGAAACATCATGACGTTTAGGCAACACGTACATCTACGAGTACACATCAAGTGTACAACAGCTAGTGTTAAGTTAAAATCTTGTAGAAAAAGCTTTTTTTACACCGAAGCAGCCGCGCAGGCAAACACCTAAATGCCAGGATACCGCGGCTGCTATGAGGATCCCAAAGAAACTTTGTTCATTCGATTTTTCAACTACCTAAAGGTTAGTAGAACCGGAAGAGCCTCCTCTTGTAGGCTGTTCCATAATCTCAACACCCTTGGTACAAAGGAGCGGTCTATCGGCCAGTTCTGAATGTACGAAGTTTGACACGATTAGGATGAGAAGCCGAAGTCAGGCGGGCCTGTCTGGCAGGCACATCGTGAGGCAGCTGTTTTCCTTGATCTGCCGCTGAGCAGCGATAAATTGTTGACGATTTAGATCACATTTATAATTTCCGGCGCGAGTATTACGTGTCTTGAAAAGTACCATTTTGTCGTCGTTTTTGACATTTCGTAGGTTTTTTGTGATATAACATAGGTTCTTCTACAAGATGTTAACTTAGCACGAGCTGTTGCACACTTGTTGTGAACTCGTTTTGTAGGAGTATGTGTTGCTTAAACGTAAGCGAACAGCGATCATAGCGAGCAAACGTGGAATGAACTATTTACACACTAAAAACTACCTAGACTGCAAGATTACAATTCGTTAGATTGGTTGCACATCTGTAGAAGTGTCTAGCACTTTACTATAAAATTTGTTGTAAGGTTGGTTGTATTAGGTTGACCAATACCTTGACGTTTCTTACCTGTTATATACTCGGGAACCGAAAAGAAGAGGGGCGATGTGTGTCGCTGCTCTCTTCCCGTTCGGTTACGGGGTATATTTTAGTAGGGTCTAGGATTTACTTGTCAAACATTAGGTTTATTTATATGCGCATCACAGAATCCCAGAGTATATGGACATTACTCAAATTCATGTAAACCACAAAAATAATGCGACAAGTTCCATTCAGGACGACTATTTGGGCGCGATCAGCATTTTTGGCACTTTTTTTTTATAACCTTAAATATGACCTCCAACCCAACTAGTTCCATCTACTTCTAACAATACAAATTATCCCATTACTCCCTATTATTTGACTAGGTACTTAAAACATGCTGAGAAACTCCGAGTCAATCTACTTCTCGGACGACATACTTTTGTTCATGACTGTATGTTGTATCTACATGGCTTTGAAGATTGCACTCCACGATTTGCTCTCAATGTCACTAGGTAGAAATTAATGATAAAACGATGTTTTTGATAATAATTATTTGTTGCACAACAAATAAGTGGGGTATCGCTTAAAAAAATCCCATTAATTCGTTTATGAACCATTTTCTACAGTCCAAATCTCAAAGATTATAGGTACTAATAATCTTGCTGATCCAAAGATATCTCGGCTGCACTATTTGACTCTTTTGTAAGTTTATATTCATATTGAGGGTGCACAGTAATTACTTTTACTTATATTTTTAGACAATATTGAAATTTTGCATGGTAATCATGTCAAGAATTATCTGAAAAGATTTATTTTCGTCTCAATATAGAGCTAAACTCATCGTAACAGTGCGCAATTTGAATTTCGCGCCGCTGATACGTCAATTTGACTTTGGTCACATGACCCACGCTCGCCGCCATTTCTACGTCTATAAACAACGACTGGATCGGTGTGTGCGCGCTCGTACAAAAATTCTGTGTGTTAGTCGTGAAAATTCATAGCAAAAATGTCTGACGTGGAAACAGCAAACACTAATAACTCTGTAAATGAAGAAAATGCTCAGGTGAGTACCGTAAATATGTTAGTTTTGCAGATATTTCCTTGAACAGTATCATCAATGTGCACGTAACAGGGCGATCGTGTCAGAATGTGACGCTGCGCGGTTAAACCCATTTGAATGCTTTCGTATCGTAACGTTTTATGGAAAATCAGTCACAGTCTCAACACAACCAGTTTTTAGGAATGATTTTGAGATATTTTCCTGATTTTACTCGTTTTCGAGCACTTCTCTACGTAACGGAAGATTCCGAGAGTAAACTGAGTACAGTCGACAACAATTCACAGGCATGTACAGCGCATATATTGCGAAAACGATTTTTTCCAACATGTACGCCGTGACTTTCTTGTTCAATAAAACACATACGTTTTGCGGTATGTCTCACTCATTTAGCCACTTGAAATGTGGTTTGCCCTGTCGGTGAACATTTCACCTTTGCTTGTTTGTGTTTTGGAGGGAAAATTCAAGTTGATTGTCCATTGCCGGCGAACGCCTTTTCTCCATTGTTAACCGTTTACCGAAGCCGCAACCTGCAGGCACTTGGGTAAAAGTCAATGGCGGGAAACTTGAAATAGCCACCCCCTATGGGCTTGTGGTTTTTCCAGTGGCGTTTCATTGGGTTCTTTAAGGGTATTAAGGATTGCAGAGTTGCCAAACTTATCTTTGCCGATGCATTTTGATCAATTTATGAAAATTTTACAATTTTACGAATAACAAATTTTTATCAAAGCATTTTGGTAAATGGAAGTGATAGTGTCACATTTTAATAACCATGGTACAAAATAATAATGATAATAGCATTTATTTGCAGTTACAAAAAATATACATTGAACAAAAATAATCTCAAAAAGATACTGCAAAATGGACTAATAAGCATTCCGAGACTGATCAAAGTACTGGCTCAGAGAGAAAACAAAACATAGGCAACAAATTTATTTATTTAAGGATAACAACAGATAAATAAACAAAAATTACATCATATACAGAAATTAAACATAATGCTTTCAATAGTCTGATTGAAAGATGACCAATCATGGACAACTGTTTCATGCATCTTTGCTACTCATCAGCATGGTCTAGGCTTGGTCCTTTTGTCTCTGGACAATTAACGAAAGCATTTCACAATTTTCTATTTAAGAGATACAGTCTATCAAAATAAGACAGCACTAAGTGACATCAATAACACTAGAATTGACCATCTAGGGGTCACATGGTGACTGGGCTATTGAATGTGAATTGAGATACATGACAATTCTGACTAATGGCAGCCTATGCACCCTACAGTGGTGAATTCTGGAGTGATAAATTGTGCTTTACTCTGCCCTATTTTGATATATAGCAATATAAGTAAAACAACAACAATACAGCAAAAAAAAGCTTCTTGAAAAAGAGTAGAATGAAACCTACAACACCAAACTAATTTTCAGATAAAAGGGAATGATGATTGCTCTAGAATAAAGTTTATAAAATTTCTTTTGAAAGCTGTGAGTCTGAGGGGATATGGCTGTACATGCAGTAAACAAAATGTGAAAAATATCTACTGAACATTGTAGTACAATGTGGTTGTTGGAAAATAAGACCTCTGAACCGGATATTTATATTGTGAATATCACTTTGGGGAACATAGTTTTATTATATAAAATCTTAGTACAAACAGTACATGTAAGAAAAGTAAGGTGACTGAGTAATTTTTGATTCCATTTTGGTTAAATATATGTCCTTTAATTTTCATATTCATCATGGTAAAGTTTTCAATATCCTTTTTATATTTATTATATTTTACTGAATTTTTTGGACAAGACTACATTGAAAGAAATTATCTGATTAAATTTGCTCAGAAGTGAATAAGAATTATGAAATATTTTCACTGCAACTATCTAGCTTAGTGTTCATTGATTAACATATTCTATCTGTAGCTAGCTAACTCTGTATTGTATTCCAGCATTCAATAAGACATCTGAAAGATCATCTATGATTCAGAAGCATATCCCAACACTCTTTCAAAGTAGATTTCTAAATTTATTTATTTTTTGTTCTGCTACTGTCTCATAGATGGTGCTTGTATCTTCCAGAGCCTTTAGCCTTTCTTAGATGCCATAATACAGTATGTCTGCTATCTTCAATGAGAATATGTATGTTAATCAAAACTTTTACCCTACTTTCAAAACATCCTGTATTTACACTGTGCCTTATTTGATGATACCTGAGATTTGTAATGAAATGTTTCCTTAAATATTTTTGGATTCTATTATTTAACATACATTTATGTTTGCAGAATGATAAGCCTGCAAAAGGCAGAAGAGGCAAGAGCGGAAGACAGTCTATGATAGAACGTACAAGGGAGGAAAGTGAATCTATAACTAAGGTGAGTCATAAGACTTTCACTGTTATAATATTTTCCAAGGTGAAGTTGGCTTTTGAAAAGTGGTTATAGCAGGTCGCTGATTTTATAAGTAAATAATATGTTTGAGGATAATTTGATCATTATCATGTAAATTTCAGGGTTTGGGGCCTGAGGTTGAAGGAAGACGTCGAACCCGATCAGCAGCTAAAGGAGTTGTACCAGCTACACCTCCTCCCCCAGCTAAAAAGGAAAGGAAAAGCTCAAGTGGGGGAAAGAGTAAGTTTTTTCTTATACTTAAATACTAGATATTTTTCTACCTTTGCGACTCATTTTTTTTTCAATTGTTTGTCAATTTCTAGCTGTAGATATGATTTTTAACATTCAAAACATCATGTTTACTTGTGGTCACTGTAGCAATATTTTAAAATCAAATGTTTGATTGCATAGTTTTGTAGTAAAGTTGTGCAAGAGCTTGAGCTGACTGAGTTTGCTGATACCAAGTCAGTGTGGTTTTCTTGCTAAAACATAGCATGGAAAGTTTAATTCTTGAACACATTTTAAAATAATGTGTTATTCAAATTTTTCATCACATCATTCCTAATTTTTATTTTTACATTATATAAAATGTTATTTCCCTAATTGTTTGGTGATAATAACATAACATTTTTTTATTCCTTTTAACTGTTCCCCATCATAATAGATACCAATACTGAGTACTCATTATCACATCAAATTGAGGCTTGCCAGATATATTATGAATCCATTTTTGAAACTAAAATCACAACTGCAGAACTTAATTTCTTAAGTGATAAAATTCAGCCTATAATAGACTGAATCTTCATACTTCTATATGCCTTTAAATAGCAACAAAACCTTATAAGGTAAACATCATCTTATGTTACATTTTATATATTTATGTAGGTCTGGTATTCCATCCCATCTTATTATATTAGAATTAGAACAATAACATCTTGTTTCTTATTGTCTTAATGCAATCTAATATTTTTGTGAAGTCTTGATTACTAGCTTTAACCTCTGCTTTAGTAAACTCATTAGTATCCACATGCTAAACAGTATCTTATAGTCAGTATTTTGATAATACATTCTTCAGTTATATTTTCAGTAAATACCACATAAATCCTACTAGAAATATTTGATTTTGTGACATAATACCATAAAATATTTATTTGCAGACAGTTGCTTTGATCACAATGTGTGCATGTGTGTATGTGTGTTTCCTGGCATATTTAATATTTCTGATATATTTGAGAGTATATCTTCTATATTCATGAATAATTTATTTCTGCCTCCTGTTTTAAGTATAACATCATCTGTATAATTGGAGTTTGTGGAATCATATATACTGGCACTTTTGTTAATGTATTCATACAAGCATCTGATAGAAAAATAATTACATGCCTGGCATTTTTTTGAAGCTCGTGGACGACCAAAAAGGAATGCAGAGAAAGAAGAAAATAATGACTCTCATGATGAGAACAAATCTGAATCGTCTGTGACTGAAAATGAAGAACAGGCCAAAAACAACATTGATGCCAAGGATGAAAGCACACCCATGGAAACTAACTCACATGAAGAGAAGGATAAATCAGCTGGAAATAATAATGCTACTGAAAGTGCCAAGGTATTTTGATTTTCTGACAAAACACATTCAGTTTTCTAACAACAATCATGATTAGTGTTCATTTTTTAATTATGTTGCAAAAAACAGAAATTCCATCTAAATGTCGATCGGATTTTGTATTTTGTAATGGTTAATTGGGTATTTAAATTTTCAATAACATTTTTTGTAAAATCAATGTTTTGATCCCAATAATTCTGAGAATTTTCAGCTTTTTCTATGAACACTTGCCCTCCAAAGTATAAATGTAAATGATCTAGTGTGTTGTAATAAGTTTTTCCACTCCATTATCTGACACTACTTCTACATCATACTTGAAAAATGGATCTAAATAATCCATCTAGGTAGAGGATGCCACATTCAATTTACCTTGAAAGTGAATATTAAAAATAGCATGGAAAGATATTTTATTCAAAGTTATATTCTGAAATTATGAGGTAATTATTATATGCCTAATAAACAGAAAACCACATGGAATTGAACTTAAATGTTGAGAAACTATTCTTTGTGTGTCTCTGTGCTAATATTATTGGGGTTATTTGCTCTATTAGTTAATACATTTGCTAAATAGCATTTTTAATGGTAAAACAGTAAACAAGATAATGTATACTCAGTTTAGAGTCAATATTTGCATTATTTTATTAGACTTTACAACTGCTTTTACTATTTTATCAATGTGAGAGGTCACACAGCACTTAGTTTATTGATATGGGAAGTGACATGAGAAAAATGAGTTTTGTCACTAAGAACAATGACTGACACTGCTGCCAACTTATAGAAGTATTCATATTTCGCCTAGGAGCAATGCGAATAATTATCGGCAAAACGTGGGGCTTGAGTCCAAAAGTTGCTTTGTCGATATACACTGCCATAATCAGACCAATGCTGGCCTTTGGAGCTGTGGCTTGTGTGAGAGACAACCACAAAACAACAGCATAACTAGTCCTATGCGAACGACACTAGAAATTTATCTGGAACATATGTCTCTGGTAACAATGGTTTGCTTGAAATTAGTTGGGATACAGCCAAGTATAGGGTGTGGTATAGCTAAAAGTTGCCTGTGGAACACTGCACTTACCCATATGCCACTTCTGCAGGCTGATACAGGCAGCTTTTTCCCAAAGTTTATATTTGATCAACGGCAGCAGCGGTGGCCGCAGTAGTAGACTCTTCGGTCTCCTGATCAGTCGCCGTGCGCTGTGCGGGTTCGAATCCCGTCCCAGGAGAAACTCTTGGCTATGGATGTTGTGATTGTCCGTAGGTGGTAGATGGTCTCTGACTGTCGAACGCGGAGGTACCACCCGGCGGATCTCGTAGGCGGAGCCAAAATGTGTGCATGTTGCATGCACAAGTGTTCCCTCGCCAGAGTCCGTGTGGCGTTCCCCCTTTCCCCCTATAGACCCACGGTACCCAATGGGTGTTTAGGCCTTAGGCCTTCGTGGTAGTTGGAGTATAAAAAAAACCCTATACTATTTCCAGGGCTGCCGAAAACCCAATTGAGGAAGGTGTCATTAACATCTTCTCTGACAGATCTAAGAAAAATGATGGGCTGGCTGAGGAGTATACTTCACAAGCCTCTGTGTGAACTGCTTAGCTGCAAAGGAAATTGCCCGCAGGAATGGTACAGACAAATATATTAAGATCTGCATGGATAGCAGACAAGCAATATTGACTCTCAATTGTTCCAAGCTTACAACGAGAACAGTACTAGACTGCCAGCTGTAATGACATAACTGTTGCTTGGGTGAAGGGTTATTCACAATCCAAGAGTAATATTATACCTCACAGACTGGCAAAAAGGGCTAACAACTATGCTAAAAGAGCACACTCACAAAATCTTCATTAGCATGTGGGATGATACATCTGGCTGCTCAGTAGCTAAAGAATTCCTCAGCTGTCCTAGTGAGGAAGTAGCAAAACACTACCTGGCAATGTCCAGACAACAACGGTTTGCCACTGGCATTGCAACTGCTTAGCTAAGGAAACATCTGTGTAACATGAGATTGCTGTACAGATTTCGGCAACCAGCCTTAACAGTTGTGGGTAGCAGGGTATACCTTTTGAATATGGTTGATCTTGATTTTTCTTTGTATATTTTATAAACAGAAGAAAAAGTGTATCTTGCTGTATAATCACTCTCGAATGTAGATCAAATCTGACTCCAGGGGAATATTTCAACAAATAACAGCCGACTAACAACAACTGGCATGCCACAATGTATCTCCATCTGAAAGTGACTGATAGCTAGATGGAGAAGATTGTTGACAACCCAGCCTGAGATCATCACGTTCATAAGAATATACTACGTTTACCATATAACTATACGTTTACCACGAAAACACGTCAGTTTTGTCATTTCTTCATTGGTAAAAGTAGTTAAGTACATCGCATCAGTAACTCTATGTTGCATTCGGCATGAGTATCATGTAAAAAACCTATAAAACGTCAAAAAAAACCTGTAAGATGTCAAGTTGCAGACTAGGTAGTTTTTAGGGCACAGTCATTCCACAATTGCTCACTAGGATGGTTGTGAACGTCCGTCTATGGAGGAAACACTCAACTATACTACACGCATTATTGCTTGCATATGTTTTGTGAGGCTGAGTGGTCCCTGTTAGTAGTTTTTATCTCTGAGAAGCAAGTTGGTTGAATAGCAATATCGCGTCTGGATAATTATGTGTATTGATCTGTATGTGTATAAAATCAGAGATATTTGCTATGTGAGAAAATCATTACTGAATATGACGGGTTATTTATATGTTGTGCTTTCTGAAGAGAGGTTATGTTCAAAGTTATAAATTACGAAAACCCGAAGAGAATTACGGGAAATCATCACCGCGCCCGCGTTGTGTGTAATTACTGTTAGCATGTATATGGCTAGTACTTCCACAGTGTACAGTGAATATAATTATTTCTTATCTCTCTCATTTTTTTATTCAGCAAATTTGTATATTTAATGGATAAGAAAAAGTGTCGGCGCAACTAATTTCTAGCTTTGAGTCTCGATTAAGTGTATTTGAGATAAGAATCCAATAGAGTGCATCTCTGCAGCAGATTTTACATAAAATCAGAGCCAAACATTGATAACTAAAGCTTCATGACGTTTAGGCAACACGTACAAATCGATATAACGTCACTTCTTAAGATACATGATACCCGTGCCGTTCTTATAAACATCTTGGGAGTATTGTGGCATAACCCAATTCTTAAATCTCCCAGGTTTCTTACAGAAACTACGATGGGCGATTCATTTTCGTATTGACACGTCTAGATCCTTCTAAGTTGTATATTAACGCACGTTCTTTCAGTCGCTGGACAACTTCCCAGTGTGGTATTTATAACTCGTAAGCTAACTACTGTCTGTGAATATTTTTCAAGTTCTGGTTAACTAATGAACTATCCCATAACTGTTGATCTGGCAGCGCTGCTTCTACGTCTGAAATATCGTGTTTTGCGCGTTTTGAAATATTTGTGCCACGTGTCATCCGCGACATATCATTTTACTGTGAATAAAAATATGTTGAGCGTTGGTTTAACTATAACTTTCCAGTTAACATGTTACGCCCGGTTTTCAACCGCTGATTAATTTTCAAGTTTGATGTCTATGACTTGTATGTTCACTTTTAGTTGTCCATAAATTCGTTTCTCAAGCTCTGGTTAATCAACCTGTTGATCTGGCAACATTGTTTCTACCTCCTGTTCTGTGCGTTTTATGGCGCTTGATGTTTGTGTCTTGTGTCATCCGTAACTCCTGTCACTATCAAGCAACGAGCTTATGCATTGCAATTTAACCATAACTTTCTATCCAACTTGTACATGGTCTTATGATTAAAGTTAACTGTCGTTTTCGGACAAACGCATTTTGACAGTAAACTTCTGGATATCAGTAAAATCACAGTTAACCTGCAATTGCAATACCGGACCTTAGATGGTCTTTTGGTTAACATTAGCTACAGTTTTAGGAGAAAACGTGATAATGAAAAACGCATTTTGAAAGTTTACTCCTGGTATGCAGTAAAATCACATTTGTTCAAACAATGATATTGAAATAACCACAGCATTTGTGTGTTCATGGCACTTGAGCAGTTGAGTCATCGCAACCAATGCTTCCATTATGTAAATTGTAATAAGACAGCACAAAGCCCAATCTATCACACCAGAATCGACCACTGCGGAAAGCGCATAGCTGCTATTAGTTGGAATATCTTAGTTCACTTTTAATAGTCACCATGTGGCGGCTGACGATTCTGGCTGTTAATTAGATGTGGTCTACTTGCCATTGAGTAACATGATGCTTTTGTCTGTCTGATGAAAAATTTATTTCGATAGACCTTTCTCCGGTATAGAGGATAGTTGCGATGCTTTCGTTAGTTGTCCCAGAAACAAGAGACCAAGCTTAGATCATACTGATGAGTAGCCAAGAAGCACGAAACAGCTGTCCATGGCTGACTGTCTTTTGATCGGAAAGACGAAAGCATCATGTTTAGTTTATGTAGATTGTCTTGGTGCACCTAATGGCATGAACTTATGTTACTTAAAAGGTAAAATCTCAAAATCTCACTGGCTAAGTCATTCCTTATATTAAACCTTCTTGTAAGCTGTGCATTGATTTACCTTTTTGTTTCAGGACACTAGCAGTAAGTCCAAAGCCACAGAGAACGGCCAAGCGGCGAAAGACGATACGGACGCTTCTAGCGAAAGCACACCGGCAACCGCCGATGGCGACTCCGCTCCCGCCAGCAAAGAGGAGTCCGCGGACGCCCCCAAAACGGACGGCGATGCGACCGACGCCGCTAAAGACGCCGCCCCCGAGCCGATGGAGAACGATTCGGTAGCCCCTACCGCGAATGATGTCGACGCACCTGTCGTCTCCTCCTGCGAGGAGAAGACGTCCAGTGATTCAGCCAAGGAAGCACCCGCTGAAAATGACGTTGACAGGTGAGTCAAAAATTACATATTAGTAACTTTTCTTTTGCAACTTTGTGCCTTATTGGATAAAGTAATTCTTCTGAGATGTCGAATGGAACGGTGGGTGGCCACAAACGCATGTTTCTCATCATTACTCATTATTTTTTAGGGTACTCAGTTTCAGTATTTTTTTGAAACTACTAATTTTTCTCGTTTCTTTTAATGTTGTCACAAAGGCGTACTAAATTGTCTGTAAATTGAAAATTAACGATTAAACCAAAACTACAACAACAATAAATACCCTTATTGCTGTTTTTCACGTCAGATAGCCAGAAAATTTTGTAATCATGAAACATTCTGAATCCAGAAATGATGTTTTTTCGAACCTGGATATGTAAATTACAAAACACCATGTCATTTTAGGTCATTATCCTTATCTCCGCTCTATAACTCGGCAGGCATGTTGCTCAGATTTTCGTGAAACTTCCCGTCATAGTACTTTGTAGATTATAAAAATATGTCCAGTGGCTGCTATAATGTGAGCGAAAAATTAAAAATTGCAGAATATTTCTCATCTGCGTCAAGTCTTTTTTTAAACATTTCTGAACTTACTAGTTACTTCAGGGAGCATTAAGTGCTCAAAAATGTGAAATCACGCATTTCTTACATTTTTCAACTAGCCTTAACGACGCGTACCGTTTTCGTGTGCCTATAATTTCTAACAGAGTTAAACCATTGAGTGGACTACTGAGTCAGTCTATTTGACTTCACTTTTTTTGCCGCATATAACATGAAAACGTCAAATGTCCCGATTTCATACTGACACCAGTACGCGTCAGGTACCGATCCAGCAGCAGGGTGAATGATTTTCGTTCGAACCGATGCAAAGTTATCTGGGTACTTTATTCAAACTTGACCAAACCAACCACCGACTAGTGCGTCATTTTTAGTTCCCACACCCAGTGACGGGGAAGTATTGTAATCGCGAAAATTTTAGAAAATGAGAGGTTTTTTTGGATGTTATATGACATGTCTGACGGTCGGTCTGTCCGCTAATCCTTGACCCGTGAATAACTTGGAAGCATCGGTCGGATGTTGACAAACTTTTTACACAAGGTTGCTCAGGGTGACTTATTTTCCTCGCGTCAGTATATTTACATGTTTCCAACCCCAGTAATTCTAAGCACCCATTAGACATATATCACATATCATTGACTTCCCTGTACACTTTGCCTTAAAACACAATCAAGGTTAATGATTTTTCTTAAAATCTTTGCAATTTTCCAAGGCGCAACCAATTTTATAAAATACACCTAAAGTTCCGTTTAATGCCAATGTTCTTTAGTTGCCCCATCCACCCTCAAAAACGTCAATTTTACTAAACATTTTTTTGATCATTTTTACTCATCTTTTCTTCTGAAATGCTCGTTTTCCTCATTTTTTTCGGGAGTTCAGGCCTGTGGCCACTCTGGGGAATTGTCAATTAAGGATTCTATCGCAAGCAGATTTCATTATTATAAAAAATTTGCAACTGAAGGTTTGTAAAATATTGTACCATCATTCGCCACAACAAATAATCCCCTCCAATCAACTGAGTGAAAAAAAACTTTTAAGTTCCATTTTTACGGCCCGCAATATCATTGCATGCAATTTTTTGCACTTGCAATGCGGCATTGCTTTGTCTGCAAAATAATTGCATCCAATCCTCGATTCAAACGAGCGAGGATCAGCCATCCTAAACGAATTAAGTATTCCCTGCCACATTCCTAAAATATTTCGGTTTTGATTTTTTACCTTTCAGAATACATGGTTTTAATAACCAATAACTAGTTTCAATCGCCGACCATTCAACATCAAAACAATCAAATGTATGTCTGTAAACAGTTAAATATAAGCATACTTCTTATTTCATGCACATATAGTTATTTATGTCGAGGTGTAGAATAAACATTCTATGTAAACTTGGAAAATTACTGTAGATTAGTGTAACTATTTATTGTTAACTGATTCAAGTATGTAAATAAATAAATAAAAATTAAAAAGAAAATACAAACCACCAGACTGGCCTAGGGATATTTGCATGGATTAATAACTAATAAATAAGTTACTACGTAAACCCTATTTCATTAGTATCCATCACGTTTTGACGTCTACTGAGGTGAACAGCAGATCAGCAAGTGACATCTTTGTATTAGTCTGTAACGTAGATGAATCGTTTTTAAATCTAGTAAAACTTGCTTGTAGCGTCTTTTTTGTATGCAAATAAACTTCTACGAGTTGTTAGCAAGCACAAAATGAATCTGTAGCATACAAAACACCAAAAAAAATGTGGTTTGTCTACCCGGCGTTGACGGATCTGTCAGAATGTCACTTGTCAATATCGGGAATTTTGAAATATTACTAGATAATCAGCTGTTATTCTTCTGTAATGGATATTCATGAAAAAGACAATATTGCAATAGAACTGCGAACAAAATTCCATGAGAAATCCATCTGATGATTTTCATGCAAGATCCCTGTAGCTGGAGGAATATTACAGGAAGAATTAGCTGTTTTGTTAGTGCACGTGCCTCTGACAAACGTATCTCTCACTGACTGTAAACGGGTATAAAGCATGTACCGAGAAGCACATGGTTCCACATGGTTCAGGGATGAGCTGGAAGTAAGGAATGACATCCTACTTTGACAAATGGAACGCATTGACATGTGCTGCGAGTTGAAGTGAGATGAGATTATCTAAGTGGCCAAAACGGAAGCTACTATGCTGGCCATACACATAGGATCTTTCGCGCAGAAAATCATGTCTGAAATCCTTTGCCTTTTGTGGACGTTGAAACACGCCGCGATGACACGGGAAGCTAAAATAACAAGGCGCGAATAGTTCGCAGTGCTATCGCATGGTTTTTTTTTATATTGGAAATTGATTTCAGAAGCTGAATAAAAAATCTATTCAATTCAGGTTGAATTTGTGTTCTGAAAGTTGATACTTTGCGTATCAAGAATAACCTTGTTTGAAATAACAGCCAATGTGTCGTACAAAAGCAGTTAAAGAGAAAAAGTAATCGCAGTTCATTTGAGAAATTTTGCGAAATAGTAGCGTCTTGGAGACTCATCACAAATTAACTACAAATTGACAAGTCATAGCTATAGAAAAGTGTAATTTTTAGCAGCTAGGTTAACCTAAACACCACGCGACGCCTGATTTGGACATTGACGCACAATACGTCTTTTCACTTAATCCTTCGGATTGATATCGCAATTTTTGTGGGACCTACTAGCTCTGTTATCTTGAGACTTTGGTGTATGTATTACAAAGTAAATTTGTTATTTTTTTCTCCAAAAACTATATGTAGTTTAAATTCCCAACTTGAACACTATATTGTTTGACATAATCCGTACGTTTTTGATGCAGTTTTGGGAACTTGCTACCTAAGTTTCTGACAAATTTTTGGCTTCTACAAAACCGTTTCTGAGTCCGACCAATTCACTATAGCGGTTTCAAGCGGTATTGCGATTGGTGGTTCAAAACGATTCTAGGATATTTCTCTTTGAGAACCGGTTCGAAGCTCTTGTTTCTGAATGTGCCCTTTTTTCAGCACGGCCGAGAAGGAACCAGCAAAGGAATGCCCAGCGACGGACGGTGCCGAAACACCGCAGGCGGAGCAACCGGCTGAATAAGCCACGCCTCCTTTTCACACATAACACACCCACCAAGCATCAATGTCACATGCGGCCGGGTCGCGCCATTTGTTTTCTTTTCTATCTCATACACATACATCCAGTAGGCTAAAACAATTGTGAAATTTGAAAGCAGCGGCAGCGCAGTTGAAGGCAGCGGCGGATACACAGCACACACGGGAAGGCACAAAATTGACAGATATCAATTGTCGGAGAGGATTTCCAACCTTGGAAACTCAGTTTTTGAAAATACGATTGAGGTAGCTTATATTCGTATATTGCTCAAGACATTCAGTTTATTGAAAATTATAAAGCTTCTAGTTTGAAGATTCTCCCGATTGTCGATTTCTACTGTTTGCCTAACTGTAGAGCCCTTTTGCAGTGTCTACCAATGTGCAAGGGAACGTTCATGAACTGGCAATACCGTATCTTAATCTCCAATGCAGACAAAGTCGGGTTGATGGTCATGTTTTAAGAAATGTTCCTAAATGCTTAGTACTGTACAATATGTGTATATGAACGTTTCTCATCTGGCAACACCACAGTATCTGATAGGTGATATTCAGAGTTGGCAGCTCGAGGTATATGGGACCTATAACATTACCTATATATTTTATTTGGTTAAAATTATTTTAGCGTGCTTATGTAAAAATTAGTAAATATGGACATTCGTGGATGCTAAAAGTTTTGAGGTGCTGTCAAATGCCAAAGTCATGCAGCCAAACAGTGCTTAAGATTTTTTAGATATTGGTAATTACAGATAAAAAGTCTGCTTTGTGTCACTTCAACTTGAATTATGTTGAAAACACGCATCAAATACCTTCAAACACAAAATGAACGACGCCAACATGAAACATATGGAAGGTTATAGTTCACCAGCACATTGCAGGTACGTGACGTCACGTGGAGATTACTGCAGACATGTAGCAGGGTTGTCAGTTTGTTTGAAATGTCCATAAACTTTTTGTGATGCACCACATGTGTAAGGAAACATTTTTTAACTTACAACATCGCTGTATCTGAATCTTCATTGCAGATAGCAGGATTGCCATCTTTTATGAAATGACCCCAAACACTTGGTATAATTTTTGACACTGAGGGGTATAACCTGCTGCCTAGGAGAGCGACTATGGTTTGGAGGGGGGGGAGTGGTAACGAAGGTACGTCTAGCAAGTTTTTCGTTAGTTTTGGTTGGGAATTGTGTAAATGTGAGCCGGTTCAGTCGTGATTATATTATGTTTCATTAAGATGAGGTAAATTAATAATTACATACAATGGGACAAATAAATCATATTGAGGTTGATGCGTTAAGCATTGTATAAGAACCTATTGATACGATGTTTGCACTTTTAAAGAAGTTCAGTCGTCGAATTATAATGTTTGGCCATGCAATTAAAAAATATCTCGACTTCATTATATCTGTTTCTAGTAAAATACAAGAATGTACACATTGTACATAAGTTATATATTTTGGTAAAATAGCAAATATTTTGCTATGTTTCACCTACATATGTGCTGTGCTATAACATTTTAATAAAGTATTGAAGAGCAGCTCTGTCTCCAAGTAAATCATAATATTCTACATGTATAAAACTATTGACTTCTGTAAAGTCTCGAATTAAGAAACATAATTTTCATTGAAACATTGATAATCACAATTGAAGACCCATGCAGAAATAAATCACATGCAATTTAAGGATGATTATGTATTGTGTGCAAGTTACATTATGTGTAGCTCACTTTATAACATTTATCGTTAGTTTGCTGTACTAACAACCTGGTTTAAGTGCTTCTATTTATAGAATTCATTTTCATATTGTGAATGACGTCATCCTTATCAAAATTCAAGGTTTAGCTTTTAGTGTATCTCAAGATTGTCCATCCAAAACCAATGAAAAGTACAAAGCTGACGTACAAAATATATTGTAACAAATAGGCTTTTTTGTTCTAAAAATGTTCTAGCAATTTAAGCTCCAAATTCTTCTTAGGAATCGAATAAAAATTATCCTTCCTGTCCTACCTTTTATTTTTTTAATTTGTAAAAAATTACGGGTAGAGAGGAAGATGTCTATTGGTTGTTTTTCTTTTTTGGGGGAAACAGATGAAAAAATTTGCATATTTCGATCAGAATGTGATTTGCGTTAGTTTGAGTTTGAATGTGAAAAATTGCGTATAGGTTTAGGTATTCATTCTTTTGTATATTTTCCTCCTCCTTTTATATGAGACGTGTGCATTTTTTTATTACATGCAGAAAAATTGACTAGCGACTACCGTTTTCCATTCAACACCTTCGCTCGTAGGTCAAACGTCAACATGAGAACAGATTCAAGTCGCATTCTTCAATATTACATACTTTGCCAGACATCTGAAATACATCATAAATCATTTAGCACATGTGGCAACAGCGCATCGCTTTACTGACATTTGAAACTGTTGATGTTATATATCGAAGTTAGCTATGCTTGGTGTTTTAGTTAACGTCATTTCAATTGTTGATATAACCTAATTTTTATATCCTTCATTCTGTTGATCATTAGAGAACGTTTGGCTTACGAGGGTATCAGAAAAGTACGTATTGATTGATATATGTACCTGAATCTCTTAATCAATATGTATATGAGTGTTTCGTTTGCAACACCTTCAAATGTCTTTAATTCCAAGACTTCCTGGTCATGTATCAAACGGTTTCGGATGTTTTTCGTTTTGTAGGAACTGTTTGAGACCTGTCCAAACATCAAGAGTCTTTGGGCAACATCTTTTATGAAACATTTCTCTAATTTTTTGTCATTTCCATACATGCTTCTCATTTAATTTGTAGACCATACTGAATTTTTATTCTAGAATGATTTGTGTGCGTAATGTTTAGACATCTGCTTTATTTTACGGTGTTTTTGTATAAATTTGCAAGATTTGAGATTTATTTTTATTAAGGGGCTGCCAGCATAATTTCAGTCACAGTTTAAGGTAGTTTCATGAGAAAATTATTGTTTATGTGAAGTTGAGATTGTGGGTATCAGTTTTCAAAGGAGGGAATGCAAAATTACCTACTTATATAATATCAGTAACACAAGTATTGTAAAAATCTCCAATGTGGTGTAAATATTTAATAACGGAACATTCAACTTGGATGAGTAGATTCAGTTTACAATTATTTGGAATATAGTAGTTCAAAAATTTCATCTTATATTCTGCACTGAGTAATAGACATTTAAATTAAAAAAAAATAAAACATAATACCTGTAGCTCTTTACAATTCATTGTTTGTATTTTTATAGAAATGTAGTTAATATATATTATTTCTGACGTGAAATACTTGTCCTGATTTTATATTTATGTAAACTAAACTGTATGGTTAATTATAAATGTGAAATAAATTTTCATTAGACAATTATCGAGTGTGTAGGCTTTACTGTTTTTTTTTTACCTCAACCCTCTGCTTTTTTGTTAAAAAAAAATTGAAATGGTAGTCAGAATGTTCACCTAGTTTGTCATGTCAGTTCAAAGCTCATGCAGAAATCACGGACAGACCCTGCAATGTTGAGGGATCTACCAATCGTAACTGGTCATGTTTGGTTTTGACCTTTCCATGGTTTGCAAGTCCAGTCCAATGATGACGACATGAACTGACCCTTTGTATGTCAAACGTCAATCCATAAATATAATAACTTTCCTATTATTTTGTGCATTTTGTGCTCGTTCTACATCGTCAGTGACATTATTCCGTAAGTCCTTAAAAAGTTGTAAGTGAAAAAAAATATGTCAACAGCTGTAGGACTACAGAGTTTCTGCGGAGTCATACATTGTTCTTATTTGAGCAGATTTTAAAAAGTAATCAGGTAGTTGTTAATATCACAGAGAAGTGTTATATTTGAGTTGTATTTATAATCGTTGATACCACAAAACAGCTACGTATATCAACTTGGCAACCCTGTCCTCAGTTCTTTGTTCTATGTAAGAAGGGCAAATGACAGAATAAACCTACAAGGAATATCACTCGATCGCTTAAAATTACTTAATTGTCACGATTTTGCGTTGATACCGTGATAACAGATAAAGATTCTTGTTTCAATGTAAAACTTAATTCACTTCGGTGCTTTTTCAAAGTAGAACAGATTTAAGATATTTACACGGATTTTAACTCCAATCCGCACACCATTTTTTCTCCAAGAGGATTGTCGGACAAAAATGTTAGCAGCAATCTCTACTAAACTATTATAAATCAGAAAGTGAGCACGCAGCACGCCTGAATTACTCGTATAGTCTAATCATATTAGACGAAAATACCCCTGGTTTGCGAAATAATTGTAAAGTCTGGTTTTATTGCTGCAAGTTAGTCAAGGGGCTATTCAAAACAACGACGCATATATTTGAAATTCGTCAAATTTTTAGGATTCATACGTCCAAATAACCACAACAAAATTGGAGTAGTTTTTGAGAATTCCTAATTGTTTATCCCAAAACACCTGTTTTCCTGCCATCACTACTACATATATATATAGTTTATTGAGCAATATACAGGGTTAGTTCAAGTGAATCGCAAACCATTCCGGAAGATAAATGTTATTTTTATGCAAAAAGGATGGGTTACGTTTTTTCTTCTAAATAAATTCAAACATTTCGTATTTGTGAGTAATTCGCAACAAAAGATGATAGACACATCCGATTTGTTTTAAAATATGTATAGTAACGTATGCTTTTCGAATATCGTGCGCATTATTTGTTCAATTATTCACAAATACGAAATGTTTGAATTTGTGAAGAAGAAAAATGTAACCAAATGTGCCAAAACCCACATTTTGCCTCGTTTTTCGGCCATTAGTCGGATCTTTCTACGTGTGACCTCATTTTGTAGGTCTCATAAATGCCTAAAAATCTTGTATGAAAAGTTATTTCGTTCCAGTCAACACTTTGGATTGAATCCCAAAAAGCACGTTTTTTTCATTCTTTGTTGTCAAATAAAAAGTTTTCACACAAAAATTGGTGTACCCATTTTATGCGTCCATGTTTTGAATACCCCTTTGAACAACTAGCACCAATAACACCAGACTTTACAATTATTTCGGGGAAAATTTCTAATATGACTAGACTAAATGGATCTGGATGAAATTTGGTATAGGGGACTATAGTCTGGAATAGCACATTAGGTAACTTTTCATTTCAGGAAATAACTTTTAAATACCTATTTCCAGGGCTAGAGCCCAAACGGGATGGGATTTGACATGAAGTGTCTAGCGCGTATTATTTTGATTGCACATTTGATATTAATTTATTGTTGCATTAAAATATTGAATAAAATCTCCATTGCCAAAGTAACTATTGCATTACCTTGTATATTGCATGCAAAATGAATGACCTATACTTTTACACTACTTCATCCCGAGTGGAGCCGCGGGCTTAGGATAGTTATTTTTAAACGGCAGTCACAAGTCGCAATCAACTATGAAGTTTACAAGTAGTAATTAGTAATGATTATCAATTACAAAATTCGAGATCTTAGCGTCAAAAGACATTTACAATTTTGGTGAAATCAGTACAATTAGATTCACAATACCTACTCCGTTTGGTGTTCAAAAACTTGTTCTTATAGCGTCAAAGAACTGTATCTCAATTTTATTCTCAGAAACAAGGATTGCGGATTGAGACATACATTTTTGACGCTGAGACCTCAAATTCGCAATTAGCTATAAAAATTAGCTATGTCACGAGTTTCAGTTAACTATAAAGTTGGCAATTACCTCTGATTGTCAGTTACTTTTTCTTTTTAAGAAAGTACCCGATTTTAAAACTTGACAGCAACCTTCCAAAACTTTTTGGAGAGCAGATGGTAGAAAGTTGTATCATCCTTAAAATCCCCAAAATTGTGCACAAAATTATTCCAAAGAGTAAAATTTCAAGGTCCAACCCGATTCTGGGGAAGGGGATCCTTACAATAGAACATAGCTAATTACAGTTTATAATTATAGCTCATAGCTGACAATTATAAATAAAATACCTATGTTTTGTCAAATATATAGGATATCATGGATTCAAAGGAATCCGCAGGAGGGTGTGACCACCCCCGAGAATTCTATTAGATCTATAAATTCGCATATTTAGCATGATTTCGTGTACAATTTTGAAGATTTTTAGGATTTGGCACTCTGCTACCCCTCGCAGATTAAGATTTCACAAAAAGTTAGTTCTTGCCGATGATCGGTGAGAAACATTCCTGTAGGCGCCCATATATGAATTGGTTTGTATAGAAAAAAATCTTTTTTCTTTGACGGAAAAAAAGTTTGACAATTTATCTCCAGGTAACAAAATGTCACTTTTTATGAAATTGCTTTTTCCCCGAGAAAAAAATGAGTTTTTTCCCGGATATTGTATGAACACATAAGCGGTCGGGAGACAATACAACCTCAACCTAAAATCTAGTACTTTTTTCTCTTGTATAATAAATAACTATTGTTACTTTCTACAAGAAAATATAATCAAATTCAAGCGGATAACCAAATGAAAATGGTATTTACCATTTTGGGTTGGTATTTACCGATCCGTTCAAGCGAGTGTGATTATCAGTTTGGTTATAAGATCCGTGACGTCATGAATCAGCTGTTATATGTCATAGTTATCACCGCAAAATTGTGGTATTTACCCAACTCAGGAGTAGTTTTATATTTCTGGTTATTATTTGAAATGTGACAAGTTAGAATTTTGCCGGGTATTGGATATTTTTATTGTACTTCAGCTTCATTTTTGGGAAACTTGATACAGGCTGATTTCAGTTTTAGCATAAAAGAGCACCTTATTATTTATAATCATTACTGTTGTTGGGGACACTTTAAATCTAGTTCCTACGCTTAACAAAGTATCCTGTATAGCGATATACCACAAGAATACTAAAATATGGCCATATAAACTCACTAGATGATGTCCACCTGTTTACGGTTTTGCTAATATGTTTTTTCATCGCTTTTTCATCATTTCTGCTAAATCAATAAATGTTTTCTTTGAGAGGCGGAAAACTTTAGAGAATTGAAAGTTGTTATAGCTACGAAGCCATGGTTCCATCATTAAAAAAAAAATTCAGAAAAGGAAAACATTTCTCGCATGAATTATTTGAAAGGTTTCTTTTTAAACTTTCCATACACCGTTGTACACGAACAAGCACCGATTATTAAGTGATAATAAAAATAATTAGAAATTATATACGGGATTTTCTAAAATAAACAACTTGCAACAAAACCGCGGTTAAAACCAACGCCATATTTCAACTGAAGTACATAACACAGAAATTTTGGTTATTCGTTTGGATTTGATTTATAATCCGCCAAGTCTAATACTTCTGTCGACCAGTGTAAAACCTCCCTTACCGACTAGTCTACGGAAGACGGCGTGTACCGTGGCGTGTACCTATCGATCACGGAGCGCACTTCGTGCGGTAACCGAACTTTGCCGAAGGAAGAAGCGCCTACCGAGATAGTGATGCACGAAACATCAAACAGACCCACAGAACGGTCATATCCAGCTGTATTCGAGCGAACGACGAAAACCGAGGGCAGTCGATTGCGGGATGGCGTCAGAAGAGCGTGTTGTCTTTTGACGTTTGCCGTAAACAAACCAGATAGTCGCGCGGGGTATCGGAATATTCAGACTTTCAGCAAAGCTTTCAGGGTATTTTCTACGTGATTCTTGCTTTTTCGGTGAATGGTACGAGTCACGACGAATACAAGGTAGGATTTCAAGGGTCTTTCAACTCGTTGCTTCCACCAATTTGTTTAATTGACCGTTTATTCTTCGATTTACCGGTGCACGATGAATAGCAAGGACCTTTTTTAGATTTCAAGGCCTTCTTGACCGAATACAATTCGGGTTGCTGGTGGAATATAAATTGATGTGGTTTTTTATTCTAATGGTTTCAAATTGACCAGTGTGGAAGTCAAAGTTCATTAATCTTCTAGATATAATTATTATAAATTGATTGAAAGTAAATGGGGAATTTCGAAGTTATGCTTAGCATGTTACGCTTATCGTTTTAATGGATATGCTCCCATTACATGCATGCAGAACATTTTAGATTAAATACTTATGTTAGTAGGTACTAATTCAGATACCTATTTATTTCAAATCCAAGAGAAAGCTGTCTTTAGCTAGAAAATAAACCAGGTTCGATTCATTATTTTGGTGTTTCAATGATTGTATGATAATGCATTGTAAAATCTGAACCACTTTAATGATTCAATTATCTTAATATTATCAAATAACATGACAAATTATAGGTAGTTCATGAAAATTCAGAAATTCGCCCAAAAATTTGATCCTCTTGTTTGTGTATTTGGGAAAGGGTGGGGGTGGATTTGAAGTTTAAAGAAATATTTAAACATTTTTAAAAAATATGGGTATCTGCAATTT